CATGATGCCCCCTCCCAGCGGCGACGCACGAAGCTCGTCTAGGTGGCAACGCACACGCATGGCCTTGTTGGACGCACGGGGCTCGACCACCTGTGGTGCGTAGGGTGGTGGTAGGGTGTGCGAGCCAAGCCTGTGTGGCAGCGCATGCACAGGGCCATGCAAGGCTCCTCTAGGGCAGCACACTCAGGCATCTGGCGGCGGCCAGGGCTCATGGCAGCAGGGCATCACAGCGGTATCTCTCTCACCCTCTCTGTCTTCTCTCAGGCAGTCAAATCGATGGTGGTTGTTGACGGTCACTAACATCAATTATAAAATGTCAACATAACCTGTATTTATACTTAATTCTATCACCAAACATAGGTATAGAGGGTTTAAGCTAATAAATTCCATGAGTTTTGGTGAATACATGTTTTTTAGTGAGGTTTATCTAGAAAACCATCAAGGGGACCTATTCACAAAGGAAATTATGGAATTCCACCATGAAAATCGACATGGGAAGAATCTAGAAGACTCCAGAAGGCGAATCACTGAAGCAAAGCCCATGTCTCTAACATGTGGGGCCGGCCAGCCCCACCTAGAGGGCGCCCGACCAGTGGGCCCCCATGTCAGCCTCCCGTTGTTATGTCGGTTCTTCACCGCCTCCTAGGTTGCATCTACGTCGTCTTTTGAGTCGGTTTGATCCAAGGGCTCACGTTGGACGCTCTGGCCTACATATACTAGCCCCTGCCACCCTCCCTGGAGCCATCCTAAAACCCTAATTCATATTCTCCTCATCAGGATCAGAGCCAGCTATCAAGAGAAGATTAGTCCTCTTTAGGATTTAGTCTTATAATTAGAAATAGTGAAATAGAGAGTGAGGCAAGAGTTTTGAGTAGATGCTGGCCTATCGGTGCTCTTTCTACGGCTTTTACCTTGGTGGATTCAAGTTCTATTTGAGCTTGCGTCTGAGATTTCTCTAGTAATCAACTTCTGATTCAAGTAAACATCTTGTTTATATTGTTCTTCAGGTTCATGACTCTCTTTTAAGTGCTTTATTCTCTTCCTAGGGAGAGTAGAGTTTTAATCATAAGTGTAAGCGTGGTGCTTTGACTTAGGTTAATCGTGGATACACCATGCATTCCGGAAGGTGGTAGATCGCGTGAGTGACATAAGTTCTATATAGCCTGTACTATACAGCTTCATTGATCCTTAGTAGTCCACCTCCCGTTTGTAGATGTATGTAGGACGCGGTTGCGAAGGAAAGCATCCTCTGTTGGTGTGTTTCCCTAGTAATGTCCCCAGTTGAATAGTAGAAGACATAAGCTTACCCAAGTCAGAACAAGAAAACCTTAGTTATCCTCTACGCTCCTATTTATCCTAACCATGTTGCTACCCCTAGTTAAGTTAGACCGTATTTAGTCTCATATGTTTTTATGTGGATACGATACTTGGAATACCTCCGAGTAAAAGCTACAGTGGTATCCGTACGCTTGCAGATTTATTTATGTCCGTTAAATATACCAACAGTGGTGGCCACGATGGGCTCGATGACGGTGATCCAGATATGAGCAGTGGCAACGGCGCATGGATAGTTTGGCGAGCAGCGGTGGCGCATGGGCAGACCAGGTGAGGAGCGCGTGGTGGCGCATCGACGGATTTGGCGAGGAACGACGGTGTGCGGGCAGATCCAGCGAGCGGCGACGCGTCGATGACCTTAGCTGGCCTTTGTGAATGGGCTCAGCAGGCCCATCAATAGGCTAGTTAGTTTTTCTTTGTTTTTTATTTAATCTATTAACGAAGGCAGGCAGTGTCCGCTGTGTAAATCATGATTTACGTGACATTTTATCCGAGGGGGGCGGTTTGCTCGTGTGATAATGGTCTTTAACGGTCTGCAAAAATACCTACAGTAATAGTGTCAAGAATTCAATTGATGTCACACACGCATGGCCTTGTTGGGCACATGGGGCTCGATCACCTATGGTGCGTAGGGTGGTGGTAGGGTGCGCGACCCAAGCCTGTGTGGCAGCGCATGCACAGGGCCATGAGGGCTTCTCTGGCGGCACACTCAGGGATCTGGCGGCGGTCGAGGCTCGCGGCAGCAGGGCATCGCAGCGGTATCTGTATCACCCTCTCTATCTTCTCTCAGGCAGTCAGATCGATGGTGGTTGTTGACGGTCACTAACATCAATTATAAACTATCAACATAACCTGTATTTATACTTAATTCCATCATCAAACATAGGTATATGGGTTTAAACTAATAAATTCTACGAGTTTTGGTGAATCTGTGTTTTCAGCAAGGTTTATCTAGAAAACCGTCAAGGGGACCTATTCGTCAAAGGAAATTACGGAATTCCGCCGCGAAATCAACATGGGAAGACTCTAGAAAACTCCAGAAGGCGAATCACCGAAGCAGAGCCCATGTCTCTAACATGTGGGGCCGGCCGGCCCAACCTAGAGGCCGCCCTACCTGTGGGGCCCCCATGTCAGCCTCCCGTTGTTATGTCGGTTCTCCACCTCCTCCTAGGTTGCATCTACGCTATCCTTTAAGTCGGTTTGATCCAAGGGCTCACGTTGGACGCTCCGGCCTATATATACAGCCCTACCACCCTCCCTAGAGCCATACTAAAACTCTAATTCATATTCTCCACGTTAGGATCAGAGCCACCCATCAAGAGAAGATTAGTCCTCTTTAGGATTTAGTCTTATAATTAGAAATAGTGAAATAGAGAGTGAGGGAAGAGTTTTGAGTAAATGCTGGCCTGTCGATGCTCTCTCTACGGCTTGTACCTTGGTGGATTCAAGTTCTATCTGAGCTTGCGTCTGAGATTTCTCCGGTAATCAACTTCTAATTCAAGTAAGCATCTTGTTTATATTTTTCTTCAGGTTCACGACTCTCTTTAAAGTGCTTTATTCTCTTCCTAGGGAGAGTAGAGTATTAATCGTAAGTGTAAGCGTGGTGCTTCGACTTAGATTAATCGTGGATGCACCCTGCATTCTGGAAGGTGATAGATCGCGTGAGTGACATAAGTTCTATATAGCCTGTACTATACCGCTTCGTTGATCCTTAATATTCCACCTCCCGTCTATAGGCATATGTAGGACGCGGTTAGGAAGGAAAGCATCCTCTGTTGGTGTGTTTTCCTAGTGATGTCCCTAGTTGAATAGTAGAAGACATAAACTTACTCAAGTCAGAACAAAAAACCTTAGTTATCATGTACGCTCCTATTTATCCTAACCTTGTTGCTACCCCTAGTTAAGTTAGACTGTATTTAGTCTCACACGTTTCTCTGTGGATACGATACTTGGAATACCTCTGGGTAAAAACTACAGCGGTATGCGTGCGCTTGTAGATTTATATGTGTGCGTTAAATATACCAACAGTGGTGGCCACGATGGGCTCGATGACGGTGATCCAGATATGAGCAAAGTGTAGCGCGGCGCATTTGACGTCGGCGAGGGCGGTGGCGCGTGGGCGGCAGACCTGTGAGGAGCACGTGGTGGCGCATCGACGGATCTGGCGAGGAACGGTGGTGTGCGGGCAGATCCAGCGAGCGGCGACGCGTCGATGACCTCAGCTGGCCTTTGTGGATGGGCTTAGCAGGCCCATCAATGGACTCTTTAGTTTTTCTTTGTTTTTTATTTAATTTGTTAACGAAGGCGGGCATTGTCCACTGTGTAAATTATGATTTACACGACATTTTGTCGAAGAGGGGATGGTTTGCTCGTGTGATAACGGTTTTTGACAGTCTGCAATAATACCTACAGTAATAGTGTCAAGAATTCAATTGAAGTGGCCAAACTTCTGAAGTGGCCCATATGGACCATCTTACATTTACTTTGGGACCCTAAGCTAACACATTTGACTCACGGTCAGTCACGGTCACGGTCACGGACACAGCACGCACGCCGCTGACGCCTGCACGCCTAGCCCCACCAAGAAACGCTCCGCCCGCTGGCCTAGCGCTCCGCCCGTGATTCACCTGAGATGGTCACCCATGCATCCGCTCAAACTGGCGGCCTACCGCGAGTTCTCTTCTCTTCTCCGTTCTCGATGTAGTCTTTTTCTTTGATTTGTTTCTTGCTTTTCTGATCTGTTCATCCAGTGAGCTCGTTAGGCGTCCCAGGGACCATGCATCTTGCCTACCACACCGACATGGACCCTGATCCAGAACGATTGATCCCAGGACGCGGATCTCTGCTACGCACTGCGCTCGAGGCACCACCGCACCAGGGCCACACTTTGCCCCGTCCTCTCTCTTGGCTTCTCTATCTGCTTTTCTCTCTATTTTTACGCAATAATTTACTACTCCACTATGATTTCAGGTTTCTGACCCAGATCCAAACACCCGCTCACCCAGCGCAGCGGCTGACTATTGTAACTGTAACAAAAGGGAATTTTTACTTCCCCCTGGACTGATTAAATAAATTGAGTAAATAACAGCCACTTGCAACCAAAAGCAAACTGCAAGAAAATTGCATGAATGGATAGAATAAACTAACAAAAAATTGCGAAGCAAAGAAAGTATTTATCTTCCAGCATCTATCTCTGACCAATTAAACTGAAGTTGTTTACCTATCAAAATCAACGCTCTCTGTGTCATTACCACGAAGCTTCGTGAATGCCGCCTCTTGTCTGTAAGGAAATATTATTTGACGAAAGAAATATCAGTCCATACTCTTCGATTTGTTAATTATCTTGCCGACGAAAATGGGTCATTAGCTTGCAAACAAGTCGCGGCGTCATAAGATTTGTGGGAAAGCATATGTTCTGATAGGTGGTCATGGCAGTGTGCAGTGTTTGCAGTGGTTAGCTCTTTCTAAACTACTCCGATTAACAACAATATTGGTTTGTCTGGGTCTAAATAAAACAAAGCAAGTTGTACGACTCGAACAAATTGCTCAAGAAAAGAAACAGGTCATGCTTGTACTATATACATGAACTGGTATCAACACCCTCTTCCCACTTCCTCCCACAGCACCACCGCATCCAGCAAGCTCTGCTCACCAGATGGTCAAAAATGGCCACAGCAGCTGTCGTGGGTGTTACCACCGGGGTGATGAAGCCCCTCCTGTCCAAGCTCACCAAGCTGCTGGAAGAAGAGTACGTCAAGCTCAAAGGTGTCCGCAAGCAGATCAAGTTTTTGAGAGACGAGTTGAGCGCCATGAGTCCCACGCTTGAGATGCTTGCTGATACAGAGGAGCTCAACCCTCAGATGACGGCATGGAGGGACAAGTTACGTGAGCTGGCATATGACTTGGAAGATTGCATTGATGCCTTCATATCTCGTGTTGACCACGAGCGTGATGTACATTCGGGATTCATCAAGGGATTCTTCTGCAAGCTGAAGAAACTGAAGCAACGCCATGATATTGCCAATCAGATCCAAGAACTCAAGGCATCTGTTATAGAGACAAGCGAGAGGCACAAGAGGTATGATTTGGCCCAACTGAAAAACAAATCTAGCGGTTCTTCTGTTGATCCTAGGCTGCAGGCTCTCTACGAGGATATTGATAAACTTGTGGGCATCGATGCCCCTAAGAAGCAAATCATTGAGTTGTTAAGCATGGAGATGAATGGGTCATCTGCAAAACTTAAAGTTGTCTCAATTGCTGGTTGTGGAGGTCTTGGTAAGACTACTCTTGCAAAGCTAGTCTATGAGGACATTAAAAACCAGTTCAAATGTGCAGCATTTGTGTCGGTTTCTCGAACTCCTGATGTCAGGAAGATTCTAATACACATTGCTAACGGAATCAAGTGCACTGATATCATCACAAAGGATGATGATGAGCAGCAGCTCGTTGATAAACTCAGGGAACACCTCCACGATAAAAGGTAAGCCGCGTCATCTACATATCCAAGTTATGTTAAAATTGTGTACATGAAGGTGGAACAGAGTAAATATTCATATTCAACATATCATGTCAAAAGAAACCTTCATCACTGTACTTTGCTTGTATATCCCAGAGTTGGGGGTAAGTCTTTATGTTCCAATGTCCAGATTTTAAAGCTCTTAAGTCACAATTTGCACTAGCTCTAGCAGTTAGAATACAAAGAAGGCATTAATAGTATGGTCAAATTAAACTATTTTTAGCAGTTTTGTCTGTCAATCCAAGTATTAGATCAGTAGAGTTATGGGCAGTTTCATCACTATTTCTAGTTTTAGTACATTTCATAGATCATATAGGAATTCATATAGAAATTGTTGGCAAATTTTTGAAATATTTTATTGCACGCATTAAAATAATATCACTTTTTATGATGTGCAAGAGTACCATCTCTATTTAGGTTCCTATCATCATTCATCAACTTATCAGCAATAGTTGATGCATACAATTTTAATGCTACGGTCTTTGACCACTGATTGCATCTTTGTTAAAATAATCTGTGGTAGGTACATTGTTGTGATTGATGATGTATGGAACGAACAAGATTGGGGATTTATCAAACTTGCATTACCGGATAATGATCTTGGGAGCAGAATAATCACGACGACACGTAGTGTTACAGTTGCAAAATGTTGTTCTTCTCAAGTTTATGAAATGGAGGCTCTTAGTTTTGATGACTCCAAAAGGTTGTTCTTCAGAAGAGCATTTGGTTCTGAGAATTCATGTTATCCTCACTTGGAAGATGTTCCAGACAAAATATTAAGAAAATGTGGTGGTCTACCATTGGCAATTGTTACTGTATCTGGCATATTAACCAATGTGTTTGCAAAAACAGAATGGGACAGGGTACTTAATGCTATTGGTTCTTCACTTGCAAAGAAAGATGATACTAAGACGATGACCAGTATCTTATCTATGAGTTACTTTGATATTCCTCACCATCTAAGAACTTGTTTGTTGTACTTGAGTGTGTACCCAGAAGATCACAAGATTGAGAAACAATGTTTGATCAATAGGTGGATTGCAGAAGGGTTCATTCATAAGGAAAAAGGTCAAAATGAATATGAAACTGGTGAGCGTTACTTCAATGATCTGATCAACAGAAGCATGATCCAACCTGTTAGAGTAAAGTATGGTCAGGCGAAGGCATGTCGAGTGCATGACATCATCCTTGACTACATCAAATGCAAGGCTGCTGAGGAGAATTTTGTAACTTCACTAGATGCTGCAGAGCCTGTATGCACTTCAGAGTACAAGGTTCGTAGGCTTTGTGTCATCAACTACAATGAAGAAAATGTTACTTTATGGGCAGACGAGATCTTGTCTCAGGTTCGTTCAGTTACTGTATTTGGACAGCCTGTGAAATTCACTTTGTTGCCTTCCACTGCTCTTCGTGTGTTGGAACTAGGAGATTGCAGAGGCATGGAAGACCATCATATTGCGAGTATTGGGAAGTTGTTTAATCTTAAGTACTTGCGTCTCTGCTCACATTTCATAACTAGGCTCCCAGAGAATGTTGGTGAACTACAACATCTACAAACACTGGATGTGCGAGGTACCATAATCGAAGAACTACCACGAACTATCAAAAAACTTCAACAACTGGCACATTTATATGTTGATTCAGATGTCAGATTTCCAGATGGAATTATTGGTCAGATACTTAGCTTGGAAGAGTTGAGGCAGTATGGAGTTGTATCCTATGAGCAAGGGCAGTCACTACAACAATTCAGCAAACTCACCAAGCTGAGGACACTAAAAATTAAATGAAGTTTTGAGTTACCAGATGGCTCTGAAGGAAGAAGCCAAGCCGAGGTCATTCACAATTATGTTGGAAATTTATTATTTTCATGCAACCTCCATAACCTTATATATACCGTGCTACGGGACAATTATGTATACCCTCTGGCGCTACATTCATGGCACCCTGCAGCTTCCTGTGGCATCCGGAAGCTCTGCATTAAAAACCATGTCATCTATAGGGTGCCAAATTGGATGGGCTCACTTGGAAGCCTTGGTGTGCTAGAACTGATGATCATCTGTGTGAGACCAGAAGATGTTGAGATCATTGGAGAAATACCCAGTTTGCTTTTTCTCGACCTAAGCACTACCGGGGGCACTGGCGGAAGGATCGTCTTCCCTGGCAACAGCGGATTCAGAAGTCTAAAATATTTCTCCCTGCGTATCGATAAGTGTGGGACCTCCCTGGAGTTTGAAGCGGGATCAATGCCAGTGGCCGATAGAAATTGATAGCGACTGGCCGATGTATGACGTGGACTACAACCCAGGCCGCGTTTAGTTCACCTGCGAAGTTGGCGCCGCCAAAATCAGCTACAACTGTAGCTACAGTAACTTGTTCGTTTGTATTCGGTAATAATTGTCCAATCGTTGACTAATTAGGCTCAAAACGTTCGTCTCGCAAAGTACAACCAAACTGTGCAATTAGTTTTTGATTTCGTCAACATTTAGTACTCCATGCATGTACCACAAGTTTGATGTGACGGGGAATCTTCTTTTTGCATAGTGTCAAATTCTGGATTTTGGATGAACTAAACAAGGGCCCAGTGGAAGATGATCATGATGACACTGCCCGATGTATTTCAAGAGCCATTAATGCTGCCATCGAGACACTTCCCAACCGTCCCACTGCCAGCTTCAGCAGAGTACATAATAGCTACTGTGAAGATTTCGAATCCGTAAGTTCCCTCACAGAACTAACATGCATTGATGGTTCCATCAACCTCTCAGTTGCTGCAACCACATACTCTCTTCCATTTAGCAACTATTCCTACTTGGCTGTTCAGTTAAATAGTTTATTTCGACTCTCTTGTTTATATTCCGTTTCCACTTCTTTCTTCCATCTACCATATATATACATGGCCGTTCAATAATTAAAAAATTTGTCTGTTCTCTTCTAGGCTTTGAGGGAGTTGAATCAAAAGTGGGGGGATTATTGAATGAGTGGCTCAAACTTTGGCAAATTAGAGAGGAGCAGGCGAACCAAACTACTGATGGAGAGACTGAACCAGAGGGATCAATGTCAAAGCTTGAGCACGTGATGCTTGAGTTCAATGCGCATTGGATGGAGTGCCTGAACGGTGCTTCTAGTTTGGGCATCCAGCACCTCTCGTCTCTCAACAAGGCTGAGGGGGTGTTTAGTTACCTCAAATTCCAAAATTTCGCAATATGCAAAAAGAAGATTCCTCGTTACGTCAAACTTGCGGTACATGTATGAAGTATTAAATGTTGACGAAATCAAAAACTAATTGCACAGTTTGGTTGTACTTTGCGAGACGAACGTTTTTAGCCTAATTAGTCAACGTTTGGACAATTATTATCAAATACAAACGAAATGCTACAGTAGCTTTGCCGGCGCCGAATTCGGGCCGAACTAAACGAGGGCTGAGATAGAAATCGGTAGCGGCTGGTATTTCAACCCAATGGAAGATGATGATGACGACATTGACCGATGTATTTGAAGAGCCATTAATGCTGCCATCGAGACACTTTCCAACCGTCCCACTGCCAGCTTCAGAAGAGTACATAGCAATAGCTACTGTGAAGATTTCGAATCCGTAAGTTCCATCAACCTCTCAGTTGCTGCAACCACATACTCCTCTCTTCCGTAAGTTAAATAGTTTATTTCGACTCTCTTGTTTATATTCCGTTTCCACTTCTCTTCTAGCTGCGGCCAATGCATACTTCTTTCTTCCATTTAGCATATATATACTTGGCCGTTCAATTGAGCAGTTTTTTTTTCTCTTTCAGTTTTTGAGGGAGTGCAATCAAAATCATGAGGGGTTATTCAATGAGTGGCTGAAACTTTGGCAAATTAGAGAGGAGCAGGCGAACCAAACTACTGATGGAGAGACTGAACTAGAGGTATCAAATAAAGGTTCACTAGGGTACCAGTCAGTTTTACATTCATGTGACCCCATTTTCCCCACCAAATTCATCTTCTTTTTCCAAACAGGATGAGACACATGAAAAGGAAGAAGAGGAGCAGACTGGTGAAAAAGAAGTGGCACATCAAGAGGACAGTGGTAGCAGCAATTAGAATGTGATATTAGTCTGCATGAGGTGGATTGGTTGGCTACTTTGATCTTGGGCATTTGCCTGATGAACGTGTCTCGTATCTACCTCGAAGTTCAATAAAAAAACAGCTGTGGAACTTCATGTTTTCTACGTTGCTCTGGATTGCAGATTTGCTTTGCTGTGGTTGCTACTGGTTGTAAAATTCTAATTAGTTTCCAATAAAGGCTTGGCACATTCACATTTGCCTGGAGCGGACACATATTACGCTTTTGTTTGTATCAGGCACACATATTTTGTTGTCACTTGAATTTATCTCATCTAAAACGAGATTTATCAATGAACCAGAGTCTGGAGGTTTTAAATACAAAAACTAATTTTACATTTTGATTTGTAATACAACCGGAAGGCCACTGCATCACCTGCTTGCTTTCACAAATCACAACACAGAGCATCCAGCAGCAGAGCAATGGCGGAGGCTGCTCTGTTGAGCGTCTCCACGGGGGTGTTGAAGCCGCTCCTGTCCAAGCTCACCACACTGCTGAGCGACAAGTACGTCAAGCTCAAATGGGTGCGAAGGCAAATCAGCTTCTTGCGAGACGAGCTGAGTACGATGAGCGCCACACTCCAGATGCTTGCAGATGCAGAGGATCTCAACCCCCAGATGGGAGACTGGAGGGACAAGGTACGTGAGCTGGCCTAGGACGTCGAGGACTGCATCGACGCCTTCATGGCCAAGGTCGACCATGAGCACCGTAGACCTACGGGATTCAGCCTCCTTCAGAGGCTCAACAAACTGAAAGCTTGCCATAAGATTGCTAACGAAATCAAAGTCAAGCACAAATATAATGGCGTGGTTCGGTTCGTGAGTTGTGGTGGTCTGCTTCAAAAATGGTGTTTTTTTAATAGCATATATCTAATTAGCCCTTGATTCTAAGTAGAACAAGCAACAAACCAAAGTTTGAACACACTTGCTCAGATGGCGTTTATTTTGAATGCCATGGTTTTAGATGCGAAACTTGGTGAGTAAAATTTGGAACATACTCTTGCTCATATTGAAAAGTTTTATTTTCTAAATTCTGCCATCACTGTATTGATATTTAAATTGAAAACTTGGTCAGTAATACGCTAATAGCATGCACTGAGTTAATTAGTGGGAAAGGTAGCTAATGTTTGCAACTTCGGTCGTTCAACTTCGGTCGTTGAGGCATCCCAACTCCCAAGTTGCCAACGGGCGCCACCACACCTCCCCCGTCCTTCCCTATCAGCTTTCATCTCTGTTTTTATACTCCAAAATAATTTGGTGTCCACTAGGCCAGTATGGTTTCTCACCCAGACGGCGAGATACTGCTAACGTTTCCTTATTAAATTGAGCAAATTTAGCATCTCTGACCGATTAGGCTGAAAACTACTCCCGCATCGCGTCCGCACATGCTCCGGTGTCGGAGCCCGCCCACCCCGTGCCGCGTGCGCCCCGATGGTTGCGCCGCTCACGCCCCGGTGGCCTCCCTTTCCGCCGCGCTCTGCAGCACGGACGCCGCGGTCTCTGCGGCGCCGCTGGCCTGAGCCAGCACGTTCTTGTCGAACTCGTCCACGCCTTTTGTCTACGTCGAGGTTCAAGACAAAAAAGAAAAAAATCTATGATCAAGTGGGTTTTAACAGCTTCCGATATGATCTGTATGATGTTCATCATTTTTTTGCAGTTATTACGGTAGATCACACGTGCACCTATCTAAGGTCACAAATCTTTTGTTAATTATTTTTCTAAATTAAATTATACCTAAAATTCCTGAATTCTTAACAATCGAAAAACCTGATAGACATTTTTGGTAACTGGCTTTACGAACATGCCTCCTAACTTATCACTGGACTTCAAAAACACATCCGAACTCTAATACTGGACAACTTACCCTCTTAACTTTCAAAACCGGATAAGATACCTCCTCTCATTCCGAAGTAGTTTATTGGGTGCTTTTGCTGATGTGGTGATAGCGCAAACATGTCAGGTAGTCTGTCTCTTTCTCTTGTCTCAAAAAAAACATAATAATTTTTCATATAAAGTCAGATGAATACAAACTTTATATTAGAATTGTAGAATCGATGTGATCTTCAATTTTGTAGTTGACAACATTTTTATTTAAGATCTTTTAGAGGCTCTAATATTCATTTTAAGTTATTAGATTTTGAAATTAAAACTTTTTTCAAACAACCTAGGATGTTGCTCCCAATGCAATCCGCAAATTTCTTGATGATAACATTTTTATATGAGATCATTTACACACCTAAATATTAGTTTTTATCTCAAATTTTGAAATATCATTTCTTAATTGTTCTAAAGATATTGACATGGTGTATACCAAAGTTGTAGGTCTAAATGTGATCTACAAATTTATAATTGATTCTTTTTTATATGAGATAATTTAGAAGCCTATTCATTTTAATTTCTTACATTCTAAAATTCATTTTCTTTAGTTTTTCAAATGATATCAAACATTGACATGAGCTATACCAAAGTTATAGCTCTAAATACAATCTACAACTTTGTAGTTTATAACCTTTTATTAGAGATCTTTTACAAGCTCAAATATTCATTTTAAATTATTAGATTTTTTAAATTTAAATGTTTGAATTTTTTAAACTACCTAAGATGTCGACATGGTCTGTAATGTCGACATGGTCTATACTAACATGTAGCAATAAATGCGACTACATTTATTGTTGATAACTTCTTTAGTTAA